AAATGTCATACATGAGGGAGAAGAACAGTATTTCTGTGAATGAATGCCATCAAGAATTTCTGCATTTTTCTTTTTCTTTTTCTTTTTTTTCCATGAGTGATTTGGATCAAACTTGCCAAAGATATCAGAAACTCCAAGAAACTGAGCCAGATGCAAAAGTTGATAACCCGAATGCATTGCAACTCAAACCTCTTTCTACTAAGCCTTCTTCAGACAGTATGAATTCCAAGAAGGTTGCCTGAAACTTATCAGTTGAGGAGCTGCCTACTGATGCAATGAGGAAAGTAGAACAAAAGTACATGCTTGATTGAGACTGTACTCAATCAGTCAATCTTACAGCCTCACACCACATCTACAAGACTATCTGCAAGATGAAAAAACAGCCAAACCAAAAACAAAGATACATTTAGTCTTTTCTCAGGTAAGAACCAGTAGTAGGTCGGTAGGTAAGACTGTAAGAACAAGTTAGATGGGTAGTAATACTTTTCCATGATATTTCAACGTATTTACATGAGATTTTCATTCATACATAGGTTAAGAATTTCCTGAGACAAAAGTTTCCCGGATATTTATTCCATTGCTTTCCCTCCTTCTCCTTCAAGAAATTCCCCAATTTAATTGCGTTCAGGATGAGGAGCCACCTCTTCTTATTTATTCCAAAGCTGTCACTTTCTAGTTATTTCATAGCTACCATTGTCTAGTTTTATTTGACACACCACAGTTCTGGTGTTGGAAAATACAGTGAACCATAATTTCCTATTGATCTTTTCTAAATTATTTGTGTTTTAAATAGAGCTCTATAATATTGCATTTAAACCATGTATTTTGCAAGCTGAAAAGTCCTTTATTAACTGCTTGTGAAGACATCCTGTAGGGAACTTGCTTTATCAGGGGGCTTGGAGCAGATGGGCTCCAGAAGTCCCTTTTCAAACCCTACCATTCTGTAATTTTATAATTCTTTGGCCTTTATTCGTTCCAGTTTTTTGGTGTTTTTTGTTTGTTTGTTTGTTTGTTTGCTTGTTTTTTATCGGTATTATTTCCAGTTCTATTATGTCTTTCTGGAGTGGAGATCAGAAATCCAGGCATTGTATTCAAAAGGGATGGGATCCATCTCGAGTTAGTTAAGTCACCTAAAGATGTTTTTATCCTTATTACTCTACTAATTATTCAGAATAATTCAACTACGTTTCTGACATGATAGAGCAGAGTGGATATTTTCATGGAATTACCTAAAGTAAGCCAAGACCACATTTCCCAGTAGTCATACTTAGCGTTTGGTCCTTTATAATTCATGCCAAGACAGGCTGTCTCCCTTTGCCTTACTTCAGTTTTACTTACAATGAATTTCACCTGTTGCTTAGTTATCTGGCCTATTTCTTTACAATTGCTCCTGTAGATCTTGGCTCCAGTTTTCATTAGTCACAGAATCTAAATGCAAGGTGTAAGATCGTTTGTACTCCAAATAGATGACTCTATTGTTGCTTAAATTGTCATACACTGCAAATGCAAATAAATGTAACTGAAAATTTAATAGATAAAAGATGGAGGGCTAAGTTGAACTCATGTCTGTGGCAGAAAATTTGCATAGGTACAGATTGTTATCCTCTTCCTGTTTCCTTTCCAAGAGAAGAGAAATTGGAATATTGATGTGTTGTGAGAGTGACAGCATGTGTGCTGCTGCTGTCCAGGGAGAGTGAATCTCGCAGTGCTCAGATTCCTTCCAGTCCAGTGATTCCTCCACATGGAACAGTGTCAGACTTGAATAAAAAGGGGTTTTTGGTGGTGGTGGTGGTAAGGAGAAATAGGGAAGGGAAGGGAAGGGAAGGGAAGGGAAGGGAAGGGAAGGGAAGGGAGCACTGAAGTAACAGTGGGAGAGCTAAATGAAAAAGAATACAAGGAAAACCAACATGGAATGTTTTAGCAGGGAGCAAATTTTGTTGTTGTAGAGGGAAAATTGCATAAAAGTGGGCACCAATGCCAAGGTGCTTCTATCCACTGTGCTCATAAGAAAACATTCTTCTGTAAATGATTAAGGCCTCCCGTTCAAGACATTTTATCTACACCCGTAGTAAACAGTAAAAGATTGCCATCCAGGTTGACAGAAAAAAATCATAATCCTTGCTATGCTTGAAGATGTGATAAAAAGGCCATTTCCATTGCTTCTTCACTAGAAACCAAATGACAAACAAACAAACTGTCTCCAAGGAGGACATCTCTCTTGCCTCCAAAGTCTGAAAGATTCCCAAAGATAGTTGAAAGCTACATGGTTGTCCAAACTGCCTTTCCACACTGAATTGCCCATATTTGCCTGTGAAATTATGGAAGGTCCTTTAAGCCATTGTTTTGTCAAATCAGGGATCTGCAAGGAAAAATAAATCTTACTAAATTTTGAAATTACCAATGTTATTGCAGGTCTTTAAAAGGTCAAAAGAACAGACATGGAAAAAAGCATTTCAAAGTGAATTCATCAACAAAAGCAGTGTGTGCTGGTGACAGTTGTGAAATACATGTGCATTTTTACTGAATCACTGGCTGTGATTCAGCAGTTCCCATACAATGTACAACCAAAAAAGTGATATGAATTACAACTTTTCTGGGCAGCCTGTTCCAGTTCTGCAGCCTGTTCACCACTCTCTCAATGAAATAGTTGCCTGACATCTAATATGAACCTCCCTTCTTTTAGTTTAAAACGGTTCCCCATTGCTCTATCACTGTTCATCCATGTGAAATTTGAATTCCACTCCTGCTAATAAGCTCCATTTAAGTATTGGAAGGCCACAACGAAGTCTGCCCTCAGCCTTTTCTTCTCTGGGTTGAAAAGCCAAGCTCCCTCAGCCTTTCTTTGTAGGAGTGGTGCTCCATCCCTCTGATTGCCTTCATGGCCCTCCTCGGGACCCATTTCAAAAGCTCTACATCTTCTCTTTGTGGAGGGTCTCAGGCCTGAAGACAATATTCCAGATGGAACCTCACAAGGACAAAACGGGGGGAACAATCACCTTCCTTGCACTGCTGGCCATCTCTCCTTTGATGCAGCCCAGGATATTGTTGGCCTTCCAGGCCTTAAGTACAAATTGCTGGCTCAGGTTTTCTTTTCCATCTACCAGGACCCCTAAGTCCTTCTCAGTAGGGCTGCTCTCAAAGAGTTCTCCCAGTCTGTATGTGCGTCTGGGACTGCAACAGACCAAGTGCAACACTTCGCATTTGATCTTGCTGAACATCATTACTTTCTTGTGGGAAAAATTTTCAAGCCTGTTCAAATCCTTCCAGGTGGCATCGCTTTCTTCTGTTATATCACCTGTACCACTTAATTTGATGTTGTCTGCAAACTTGCTGAGGGTGCACTTGATCCCATCATCTATGTCTATTAATCAAGTTGTTAAAGAGCACTACTCCCAAGAGATACTACTGGAAGTCGCTACTCCTCACCAGCCTCCACCTGTTGACCACAACCCACAGGCTGTGACTTTTGAATCAATTCCTTATCCACCAAATGACAGCAAGGTGTGGAATTCGTAGCAAACGCTGAAGCAAAATGTGGTGTTCTTACTGCAGTAAGTGATGAGTTTGTAACCAGACGGGAAACCACTGGCAAAAGTGAGGAGGTTTGCTTTGTTAAACGTTTGCAATCTAGTATAGGAAAACAGGTAGGCATACACAGATTGTTGTACATGCCAAATTAATCCAAACCTTGACTAGGCATGATTTACTAAAACAACAGTGCCACAGCCCATATACAAAGGTCTGGGCGCTCAGCTACAGAGGGCAGCAGTAACCTTCCCACTGAAATGTGGCAGGTCTCCCAGTAAAGAAATACTCATGGCTGGACTGTGCATGCCCTTCAAGGCTCAAACAGGCTCAGAAGATCTTGAGAGGATCTTAAGTAAAATTGCACCCAAGTGAACTAGGAGAGCATGAGGGTTTCTGCCTCCAAGGAAACAGACACAACTTACATGCCCAATGCTTACACATTTTCTTGTCTTACAATGCTTACACTCCTCTTGTCTGGCCACCTTGTGACAATATGCCCTGTTTAGTGTTTATTTCTTACATTTGTATTATTCGTTGAGTAATAGCTTCCAGCATGTGCGCCCAAGCAGAGAGCAGTTATTGAGTGAGGTGGTCAGAAGGGCAGCAGCTCCTGGCTGGCCACGTGCAGGGGTTTCTCAGCCATGTTTGCCAGCGAGGTGTGAGCACAGCTCCTGGGGGTAATTTTTGGTCACAGAGCCCTGCAGTGCCCGGAACAAAGCCAGCAGCCCGGCCCTACAGAGACCCATGCCAGGTGGGGCTGGGGCTGCAGCAGCCCTGCCTCTTCCCAGTCCTAGCAAACAGCAAGTCAGTCCAACAGCTCTGCTTACAGGAGAACCCGAATTTACTTCAGACACGTGGTTCTGGAATCTGGAAAACCCTGATGTCTCCAGGTGCAGGCAGTACTGGCAAGCATTGACATCAGATGGTTTATACACCTGAGCTGCCTAACAGGAAAGGAGCAGTGCCATTGTGTGCCTACACTGAGCCCATCAGGCAGTTGTAAGGTAGTTGAGTCCTCGGAGTCCAAAGTGAGTGGAAATTTGCTACGACACTCCATGCGTGGTTAAGGTAACTTAGTTTCAGCAAGTTTTGCATTAGTAATAATGAAAAAAAAAAACACCACCCAAACAGTTACGATAGGTGCTGCAAAAGAAACTCCTCTTCATCTTTTGGATGGTGTATAATCAATAGATATCAAGACGCTATAATCACAATATAATTGTATAATCAATAGATATCAAGATGTTATAATCACAATACAATCAAGAGAGTTAGACAAAGTAGACAACGATCACAAAAAGAGAATAGGTGGAAGAGCTTACTCTTCAGCTGAGCTCACCACAAAACACCTAGAGAGGTGATCTCCAGAAGAGATCCTTCCCCTCTGGTAGCCAGCTCTTAAATAGGTCTAGAAGGGGTGGAGCCAGGCTCCCCCCCTTCCAGCAGCACAGGTGAATTGCCTTCACCCGTGCTCCTCTGGCTGACTCATGGCTAGCCTCAGGTGATTAATCAGAGGTTCAGGCCGTGACCCAGCAGTTCCCATACAGATGGAAAGTCAATGACTGTGTGCAATTTCCCCTGTAAAGGTGCGGGGCCCTCTTCCACTCCACTGTCTCTGCTGTCTGGCACAACGGGAGAGCTGCTGTGGCCTCGTGTCTGTGCCTGTGCCTCCTCCAGGGTGAGCAGCTTTGTGGGAGGAAAAGAAACCCACAGGGACTCGGGCCACAATTAAGAACTGTGTCCTGTAAAGCAAAAGCACAGATCAGAGGAGGATCAGCAAGTAGCAGCACAGCCATCACAGCTCTGGGGGAGGTGCTGTGTTTTTCTAAGGCTTGGTTATCCTAGCTACTGCAGGATGATGTCAAAACAACCATTTTGTCACAGGTACGTTTATGGCAAAGGACAGACATACTCATAAGTGAGAGCAGCTTACTGTATTTAAGCAAGCAAACAAAACTCCTAAAAAGTGAGGACAAGTCAGTCAGAAACCTTCACTGCCATACTTGAATCAATCTTCGTCTGCAGGCAAAATATTGTCATGGTAACGACAGTTTTCTTCTTATGAGGTCTGGGTTTGCTCTCAGCATCCAGCAACAGGAAACGCTGCACACGACTGCAGCAGCTGCAACCCAGCGTGTAGGTGGACACAGAGAACTGAATCTGGCCGTGTCTTGCTCTCGGCCTGCTTACAGCCTATGCTTGTTTTTGCAGACAAACATTTAGATTTCTACCACAGTAGCCCACAGTGCCAGCTGCCAGGATCTCTGAAGCCTCTCAGTGCAGGGCAGTGCAGGTGAGCGCGAGGAGTCTGCTCTAAGAGCTGTCCCTGTTCGTCCTTTGTGTGCTCACAGGGGCTGCCTTGCCAGAGCAGTATTGCCAAGCTTAGCTGATCCTCTGTGACATCCCCTGACCCTTCTGCTTGTGGGAAAGCAGACAATGTGAACGTCTGAATCATTAAACAACTGGCCAAGGTGATATGCTCCGTTCTACAGCCTGGATCATCACATGGCTCAGGTGCTTTGCATGTCCATCTTTCCCTGGCAGAGCTCAGCCTGCTGTGGGCTGTTCCTGTTCAATCAAGCTTACCCCTGCATCCTGCTGACATAAAAACTGCCTTCCAGTAGGAACAAAAGCTGCACTTACAGCAACTGTGCTATAAAAAGAAGAGCAACACTTGTATCAAATGGCAAGCAGCAAATATTCTGGAAAAGCAGTTATCTATACTCCACCAGTGGCAATAACTGCAGTGACTGCAAATCTCATTGGAAGGTCGGGGTACCAAAGCAGATGGAACAAACTTAGCGCTCCTTTGGAATAATAATTGTTTGTGCTCTTCACACTTACTTAACAAGCAGAGGAAACTTTCTTCCTGGTGCAACTCTCTTTCTTTCCACTGGACCAGGTGCACTTATGGTCTTAGCAGTCACTCAAGGACAGCTGTAGGTTCCAGGGCTGAGCACAAACACCGTGCAGTTATTTCCTCACTCTTAGCACCTAAGCTGTGGCTCATCCTAAAGCCTCTGCTGTGCAGGCACAACTCTGCTGTGCAGGCAGAACTGGGCAACAGTTCTTTAAATCTGCTGTTTGCCATTTGTCTTCTAAGATGCTTGTAAGGATCACGCATTGTGTTGTACTGCAAGACAGCTCAAGTGGGAAAGCACACAGAAGCATTGAAGAAAGTGATTTTAGAAGGAAAAGAGAGAGTAGGGAGAAAGATCTAAGTTACTCTGTGAAGCTTGTCAGTGTGTGGACCTAACAGCAGCAGCCAAACTTTCAGCTCTATGTTCTCGTAGAGCATCTCTGGCTTCCCAGAAAGATACTGGTAGCCACATTTGCCATATTCTTACATCAGTCCAGAAGTCTGTTGTCTCCTCAACAGTAAAAGCATATGTCAAGTATCTTGGTGAAGATCTGGATTTGATCAAGGTGTCTGATCAAGGTAAAGCTAATGGAGGAAGATGCTCACCTGCTCCATCTCCAAAGAACGGGCTGGATTTGGAGTGGAAGAGAACATCTGAGTGGTTCAAGATGAATTCCACAACGGCCGGCTGCATCTGCACCTCCATGAAGGCAGCTCTTCTGCTGATGCAGGCAGACTCACTCTGCTGTGACCTGAAGAAAAAACAGATGAAGTAAAACTGCCACAGACAAAAGACTGGGAAGGCAACTCTGGCTGTGCAAAATACGTTGATTTTGGAGGGGAGGGTCTACAAAGGCTGCGTGTGTTTATTTTGAGGCTTCTTTTCAACACTGTTTGCAAGATGTCAAGCATGAGTCCACTCTGATGTTCTTTTCTTATCTGGCCTCACATCCTGCTTTCCTGCATTGCTATACAATGGGTAACCCTTATCTTGTCCTCTCTTAAGTCACGCAAGCAGGAGAGCACACAGAAAGCAGCTTACATCTTTTACGCCCTATAACTCGACACTTATCTCTTTCTCCCCTGCTTCCTCATTGGCTGAGTACTTCAGGTTCACAATGTTCCCGACGCTCAACTAAACCTATGGATACTGGATGAACATCAATTATTGCTGGCTAAGCATATATCGCTAATTAGTTAACTTCTCACACTTGCTCACTCAACACTCAGTCCTTGTTTCTGGACTTCTGCTCGTCCCTGCATAGAGATAAGCTTGGAAGGAGGACAAGGGGGAGTATCTTGATGCCTGCCTGTTGCATCCCAACCTACCCACAGAGCCAGGCAAGCCAGCCTTGCGTAGAGGCCCTGGCTTCTTTGATGTTTGTTAAGTCTGTTTTTCTTTTGCTGAGGGTCTCTTATCCAAACAAAATAGCCCTACAATATGATTACTAGTCCATAATACTATACCTACACTATTTGGAACATTTAAGAGCTATTGCAGTTTTGCAAGCAAGAATTAATCACACAATTCAGCAACTGTATTTCTAAAGTAGGTTACTAACATATATGGTATTTCTACTTTTTCACATCAGCTATTTCTAAGGACAAGTTACTAAACACAAGTACATTGTGCTCTGCTTCTTCAGATCAATTCCCTCCTCTTAATATTTAATGCAGGAACAACATTCCATTCCTACAGCCTTTAGCAGGGATGTCTCTTGATGTCACACCTGCACAGAGATCCTTTCCACCTTGATGTCAAGACACCTTGCTGGTACGGATCCTCGGTAAGCGACTAATAGTTTGGTTTGGAATTTGTCAGCTTTACTAAGGGTACATCTATCTATCTGTCTAGGATCCCTTAGACGCAAACTGTCTGGGACTAGGAGTGGATCCAGCCGTGCTGAGGAACCTTACCTCTGTGCATTGAAGAGTTCACACAGCAATGGGGTTGGCTCTGATCCTCATGACACAGCAGGAGAGCGTCCTGTAGATGTGTTACCCTGTCCTCTCTGTGGATAATCACCCAAAGAGAAAAACCCAGTGAGGCCACGGGCTACTCATCTCCAGCATCACATCCCGTTCAGACGTAAATAATTCTCACCTCATGGACTCAGAGCTTCCCCTTTAAACTGAAATCGGTCGGGTCTGCCGTACAGAACTCCAAAAGGACTCAAGCATTCCTTACATCTTGATTTTACCCTCATCCTTGTTGCCTGCTACCCGTGTAAGTTCTCCTCCTGCTGAATTTCAGCCACGTGCTTTCATCTGGCGATTTCCACGTGCCCCTTGTGCTCAACAGGCTGTGTGCAATTCCCAGCTGATGCCCACGGTGTGACCGAGCTGCCGCAGCACTCACAGCACCGAGCGCCCTTTGTCCAACGGCATCGCAGCAGGCGCCCGAATCGAGGTACGATGTCATTTCACAGTGCTTGTATACTCGCCCTGTTTGTGCTACAGGGAAAAGCCACCGACCGAGCTGAAGCAGCGTCTGCCAGCACCACGGCGTTCCCCGAGTTCTGACAAATACATTTGCCATCGCCCTGCCTCCACGGTATTTTTTTACACGAATATTGGATCCCTTAATTTCAAGGACTCACGACTTCCCTGCACGTGCGCAATATACGTAAATGAAGCATTTGCCAATTACCGAATTAGAAGAGTTTAGAACGTCAGAAGCTCCGTCCAGCCGCGGTGCAAACACGCCGCTTCCGCCCGGCAGCGTTCTCACATCCAACACGGCTCCTCGACGGCTTCACCCGCTCCTCAGCGCCACACCGCCGCTCTGAACTTGCCGTGCCCTTTCTCAAAATGGCTGCCGCCAGCTTCACCCCGCGGCCGCCTTGCCCGGATGACGGCCGGGTCGCGCGGTCACGTGACGGACGCGGAGGGCGGAGCGGTTCCAGGCGTCCGGTTTGTCTGCTCCTCCTGGCCGTGCCGTGCGGTCGGCCCTCGTGGGGTCCGGGCCTCCCGGGGACGGTGCCGCTTACGTGCGGGGCCGGTGGGTGCGGGCGGGGAGGGAGAGCCAGGGGAGGAGGGAGGGAGGGAGGGAGAGCCGGGGGAGGGGGGAGCGGGGAGCGGGGAGCGAGCGTCCTCCGAGCGGCGTTCTGTGCCGCAGTTCTTGTCCTCAGCCTGATTTCTCTCTCCTTTCCCTGGCCGAATTTCGGCGCCCCGTTACGCGTCCTCCGGGGGGAAGGGGGGGAGGGGTTGGAGCTGATGGGCAGCCGGCGTCTGGGGGCTGTGCGGGTTCTTGTGGCGGTGATGCTGCAGCAACACGTCCTCCGCGCTCCCTTCGCTGAGCTGTGCCGCGTGTGCTCTGTGGCTGTACTGAGGTTGCACGAAAGACATCGGTTGGTGCCTGCAGACTCGTGAAGGAAATTTACACTCGCGTTCCAAAGACGGTGCTCTCTTCCCCCTCCCCTTCTTCCCCCCCGACGTAGAAATGCGTCTATGATTGCTGTGAGCAATGTCTGAGAAGGAACTGAGGAGCTGAGAAGGATTTCAATTCGTGCTGCTTTTTTCCCCCGTACTCTCTCCCCCCTGCGCCACCATGTGGCCATTATCTGCTAATTGTACTTTCAACGGTGATCATTTTTCTCATGAACCTGAAGCTGTGAATGCTGAGGTGTCAAGACAGCTGTCCTTAACTGCTGTGAGAAAAATGTTGTGCAAGTTGTAGGGCATTTTTGAGTTACGTTCTCACCTTGGCCTACGCAGCTGAATTCAGGTATGGTTTAGATTGTGAAGATCTATTCAAAAAGGGGATGTTCTTAAGAGCTAGCACAAAAAACACAGGAGGAAAAGAACATAATGAAGTTAATCTAGCTGTATGTTTCTTAGGGTCTCAGGTAGTGCGTCTGCAGTTACAAAGAATAGGTGTGAGGGTTTTGTTATCTGGGGTATCTCTACAACTTTCTGAGGCTCCAGTCTAAAAAACAGACTAGCAAACAGACTTTTACTTTTTCTCCCAATTGCTTTGGTTAGGAGGTGCAGCTGGAGGCTGTAACCCTCAGTTGCTCGTTTCATTCAATGAATAATAAATCAAAAATAATTCAAATTAAGGTTATTGATATGGGAGGGAGGGGAATGACCTGAGTAGCTCTCACATACTTATTGCATAGACAGCAGAGCTTGATCAAGCTTAATTCTTTGCTTTATGGAATACAATCAGTTTTCCTTTTGCACAAGTGTTTGCGTTCAAAACATCGCTTTCTCTTGTGCACTCTTACAGCTGTTTGCAATTGTTCAGTTACTCACCTCGTGTCCTTTCCTGAAAAGAAACAAGCTTGTTTCCTAACTTTTAAGACTAAATGAAGTGATTTGCTTTTTATTGTCAAGAAGCTGTAGCAATTCTTTTCTTTCTTCACCAGATTCCTAAACCAAAGTCAAAACTAACGAGAGGAGATCGTGCTGGGCAAGATACGCTGGAAACGTTGGCCTGCGACCGAAAAAGCCAGTCTGGTAATAAAAAATAATAATTACAAATGTTTCATAGTTCCATTTTAATCTTATGAGCTGCTAATGTCAGAGTTAAAGGCTTGTTAAAGAGCACGTTTGGTGTCTTGGAACACACCATAAAATGTTCTGCATTTTGGCTGTGTATAAAATGGAGAACAGTGGTTTGATCCTGACACGTACTGGGCTTTTTCTTTTTGTCTCCAGGACGTTAAAATAGAATTTAACTTTCAGTGTCTCCTAGTCTGCTGGTTTCTGCCTACTAATACACTATTTGTCCTTTCTAAGTAGTAAGGGAAGGAAAAATAAGGAGCAGGGTAAGGAAGGCTTGGCATAGGATGAAACAGGCGTAACAGCTTCAAGAAATATTGCCCTCCTGTATGCATCCTGAAAACGTGAGGTTGGTGGTACCTCTCATATGGAAAGATGAATTATTAACTGTGTTGCATGGATTGTACGCCTGGAGTACTTGGCCAGTAGGAAACAGTAAAAACCTGTGATGGGAGAAAGATATATAATATAGTGTTCATATATAACGAGAAGTGTTCAACTGATCGTGCGCCCAATGTCTCCCTGCCATAAGGGGGCTGCCCACCCACTGTTGCAGTAATGAATAAAAACTTTGCTGCTTCACTGAGATAATTTCCTGATCAGAAGTCATTGGAGTTGAGCGCCTCTCACATTCCCCAGGGGTCGGGATTGGGGCCCATCATGTTTAATATCTGTACTGATGTGCAGCTGAGGTCATCCCCAAGCTTCGGTATCCCCGGGGATGGTACAGCCAACATAAATCACAGACTGACAAGCTACTGGTGCTTTCTTCTTTGATACTCTGCATCCCACAGGCAGCGCAGGACTGCAGGAGAATACACCCACATCTACACCGGGATGAAAATAGCTTTCATGAGCC